CACTATGAGTGGGAACTGGTCGGGGCGGACAGAGAGGACCCCTGCCCCAAGCGCCGTGGCGGGGGAGCGGGAGGGGACGTTCCGGGGGGAGGGTGAAAGGACTTTCCCCCAGTCTAAGGGAGGGGATGATCCGCAGTCTGGGCGCTGGGTGGGTGGGCGGGCTGAGTGGGGATGATTCCTGCTGCGAGAGTCCTTCCTTTCCTTTTGGGCGGGGGTCGAGCCTCAGCGTGGCGGAGAGGATGGGGGCGGATAGCCCAGAACCTAAGAGCTGTGGGGAGGGAGAGGAAAGGGGGCAGTCCTTGCTGGGTGAGCTGCACTCAGGCCCTCTGTCTCAATGGGCTTTTTCTGTCGCTCTCCTGGGGGCCACCGTTTCCCGCTCCAGTACCCCCCCCAACTCTTTTGGTGGCTCCTCGAGTCTATATTTGGGTAATTAATTACATGTCTTTTTCCACACACATCCCCATTCGCCTGCCGCCCAAAGCCCATGGTCCCTTTCAAACAACCCCCCTTTCCTGGCTCTCTTCCCGGAGGTCCCACCCTGTTCCAACTGACGCCCTCCAGCTTCTGCCTAGCTGGGCCGCGGCACCCTCCAGTCTCCTTGGTCAGCGAAACATTTCCTCTTCAACCTCAGCTAGACATTTTTCCTTTTCAGGAGGATTCAGATGGGATTGCTGGAAAAGCACCTCCCTGGGTACTTAAGGCTGCGGCACCGCTTTCCCCATCCCCATTCTACAGCGATCTTCAAGTAGAAGCGGCTCGCTCGGTGTATGGCACAGTTCAGTGTATCCCCCAAATGTTATGGCATCTATACTGAGAACCCCTTGGAAATCCGCTAGACAGTGTGAATTGTCTTCTGAGAGAATGAAAACCCCAGATTCTAGACAGGCCCGGTGTTTCTAACCCAGTGGTCCAGTCCTTGCTATAGCCCGCCTGGGCTCTTTGGCTGGCCTGAGGTTCCTTGGAATTTGCATAGCATCCCGCCCCACCCCCAATTTTGAATCGTTCCTATTCAGGCAGTGTAGACTAAAGGAAGCTACAATTCATTTTGATTTTTAGTAAGATACCATGCTTCTTCTTGGGGAAATGGGAACATAAACCTTTCCTCAATTAAGTACAACAAACACTACAAAATCCCCTTCTGGTCTACCTTCTGGCTTTTTATAGAAGGGAAAGAAGATAGAAACCTAAACAGAGAGACAGGTGCCCAGGCAAAGTGAGAGAGGAAACAGATGCCTCCCCACCCACGCACACCAAAAAAGACACACACAGACACAAATATCCCGAGAGAAACAGACTTTCCTGGTGAGACACCCTTTCTTTTGGCCCTTCAGGATTCTGCTACTTCGAGTAGCAGCCTGTTTGCACAGTGCAGGATGGGCCCAAATGAGGCCCTTGCATCCACCTCCCAGCCTGACAGGTGGGACGCCAGGATGGGTGTGACCAGGGGCTCGGCTCAGGGATTGCCCCTGGCCTGGCTGGGGTGGATTGGGGTCCTGGCGGTGTGGATTCCGTTGACAACTCGCTACACAAGAGAACGGGTTCCTGGGAGGTGCGCACAAGCCTGCTTCTGTTCACCTGAATTCTCTCACTCCAACAGGTAGGGCCTCCCTTCCCACACTGATCTCTCTGGATTGTCCTGAAACATGATGAGTCATCCCTGCCTGTCTCTTTTGGGTAAGTCTGGGTGTTTACCCATCACGTGTGTTGGCCTTGTGGCTGACCGTGCTTTCAGAAGACCCTGTGGGCAAGGGTCCAAGACGGTGAGGTGTATCGTTTTGGTTCCAGAAGCACTTATATTTTCACATATGCCAGTGTTGCTGAACTGTCTTTGCTCAGACACAGTTCTCTCACCTCAGTAAGGAGAATTGGGAATCCAGGTGATCATTTGGATGGGAGAGGGAGCTGAAAGCACCCACCTGAATTAGCTCTCTTGGGAGTGAAACCTATAAAGACACTCTTTGGGGCATGTTTGCTCTGGTCCAAAACCGAACTGAACACTGCAAGACACCTGTTGTCTTCTAGGTAAACTCAAAATTTCTATCTACCTAGAGGGAGCTAGCTATTCTTTAAATGTACTTTGTACATTCGGCTACAGGTCTTTATTTAGATGCTTGAGGGAGTCCAGGTGTTTCTGGCACTCCCTGGAAGCTTCTTGAACCTGCCAGATGGGTCTTATTTAGGGGGCCTTGCTGCCTCTCCCCAGTCCCCACTGCCCAGGGAAGGACGGCACCTGTCAGAGAAGGTTGTTTGGTATTTGAGTGACAGACTCCATTTTACACTGATATTTTAGGCCCAGAAGCTACCTTTGCTAGTAACCAGACTTGGGGGATGGAGGTGGTCCTAAGCTCAAAGGCGACCAGAAAACACCTAATCATTCCCCACTTTTTGTGATTTGGGATGGTTTCTGTGTCTGTTGAATTCATCTCTTCATTTCTGTTCTATCAAAGTAAAATGATGATTTCAGGTCTCTTAGTGTTTCTGATTCCACACTATTAATTTGATTTAAATAAGTCAGTGAAAATTGACATTGTAATCTAAAGCACATAGCAGGACAATCTGCTCACTCACGTGAATGCTCGTGTTTTAGAAAGCATAATTTTTCAAGTTGTCAGACAGTAGGTTAACATTGACATTACTATTTTCATGTATTCTAGCAGCAGATGTTAAACAGCTGCAGTTGAATGGCGCTTGGCTAGGTCCAGGGTGGAATCCGCAGTTGACCTTGACAAGGCCTTTGCTTTCTGGGAGTTTATAATCTTTAGACTATCTTCAGATCCCATTTAAAGAAAGAGGATTGGGCCTGGTGCGGTGGCTCAAGCCTGTAATCCCAGCACTTTGGGAGGCCGAGGCGAGAGGATTGCCTGAGCTCAGGGGTTCGAGACCAGCCTGGGCAATTTGGCGAGATCTTGTCTCTACAATAAATCAAAAAAAGAAAGAAAGAAGGAAAGAGGATAATACTATTTACATGAGAAACTGGGAATTTGTTTTTCCATAGTATTTCTTCGAGCTTCCATCTCCCAGTTGTATGTAGGAATGCACCCCATGAGATCAGGGAATGCTTTTCTGCTGTGAGCGAAAGTACGTCACGTTCAAGGTCAGCACTACCCTGTGTGTCCATAGGGTGCATTACAATGATTTTCATGTTCTGTCTGGAATTGCTTTGACCTCGATTCCCCATGATCCACGGTCGGAAGGCAGTATGCACCTGTGTTTGTCACTTTTACCACAGCATCTAACTTCTTTTCCTGATTAGTTCCACCATTTATTTTATTTTATTTTATTTTATTTTATCTTATTTTATTTTTTTGAGTCAGGGTTTCATTCTGTCACCCAGGCTAGAGTGCATGCAGTGGCACTATCATGGCTCACGGCAACCTTGACCTCCTGGGCTGAGGCAATCCTTCCACCTCAGCCTCCCTAGTAGCTGGGACTATAGATGCACCACCACGCCCAGCGAACTTTTTGTAGAGATGAGGTCTCACTATATTGCCCAGGCTGGTCTCGAACTTCTGGGTGCAAGCAGTCCTCCCGCCTCAGCCTCCCAAAGTGCCGAGATGACAGGTGTGAGCCACTCTTCCCAGCCCCACCATTTTAAAGTAGAACCGTTGTGTAACATGGACCCTAAGTGATCCGATTGCCTCTAGGATTGATGATAATTTTATTTTTAACCGCTGTAGGGATTCATGTCTTATCTCTTTTTTAAATGATCTCCCTTAGCTTCTTTTGAAGCTCCTTGACCTGCTACACTTGGTTAATTATGCGGAGTTTAGCTTCCTTATGTGAGAGCAGGGCCTGCTTTTTTCCTCCCACCTTTGTGAGCACCTACAAAATGATCTCTGTGTGTCCATGGGCCCTGTCACCGTGGGTGGTGATCACACAGCCTTCGTCGAGAGTTGAAGTGCCCGCAGGCCACTCCTGTTGCTTTGCAGGGACGACGGGGAAGTTAACAATTCGTGGAGGAACTGTGGCTCCAGGATTTCAACAGTTAATCACGCCAATTAAATCAAAGCACTTTGGTAGGATTCACTCAATTAAATGGAACACTTCGGGAGGATTTGCTCAATTAAATGTGGGTGGCTTGGAAGGCTGTGTGTGTGTGCGCGCCCTCGCATGCATGCGAGGAGGGGAGGGAATGATGTGTCTCTATTGCGCAGTAAGGGCATGTCCACAGGATTATTTAAAGGCATCCCCCACCCCCCTATATATAGCATTAGGCTAGATGCTGTTACACCCCGCCACCAGATTGCCTTCTGGCTGTGGCTCTGTATTAGAGGGCTGAATATTATTTTTCTCTTCTCTGGCGAGGCTCGAAAAGTCTCCAATCTTGGGAGCTGGACATTCAGCAAGTTAATGTCTCGGAGCCGTGGTTTCCTTCTCTGTAAGATGAAGGTAGTAATAACCGTGGGCTGCAGTAATTAAATTACGTGAAGGGAGACACACAGCTCCTGACACGCGCAGTGTTCACTAGACTATTCACTAGACTGAAGTTGCTCCATTTGCTACACCCTTCCCCCCCAAACATCAGTTCAGTCACCCCACAATGCCCATTCGGTGCCAGGAGCTGCTACAGACACTGGGGGTTCAGGGGTGACCAAGAATGGGAAAGCCCCTGTCTTGCTGGAATTACATTTCTCCTGGGGAGACTCAGGTAGAAACAAGCAATTTCACAGGATGGTTAGTAGTGAGTGCAAGTGCTTCGAGTAGAATGTGTTGAGGCTGGAGAGTGAAGAGGTTCTGCGGAGGGGACACTGGAGTTGAGGCCCAAATTGTCGGAAGGAGCCACCTATGATAAGCCGCAGGGATGATATTCTTGGCAGGTTCAGAGGCCTCGAAGGCCACAGTCTTGGCCTGTCTAGGACTGAGTGAAGGCCAGTGTGTCTGGGTATGATTGAGCCGTGGGGGGCAGGGTATAGGATTCGGGGCTGGGCCAGGGCCTTGTTGGGGGTGAAGGCCTTAGGTCTCTGGCCTGAGGGCCCCAAGAAGTGGCTCATCCAATGTTATGTTTCTCCAAAAGTACGTACACGATGTCCTTCTCTCCGTTCCATGCGACAGCCCAAACATCGATGTCAACTAGAAGTGAAGTTCTGACAATTCGTGACTCATTCATTTTGTACTGAAAGCCAAAGTCAAACCAGGGAGACCCCAACAGCCAACAGGGTCCTGCCCAAGTGACAGTGGGACCTATAGAGGGCTTGGCTGCACAGCCCCTGAGAACTGACACACTGGGGAAGCACTTATGCCAGCCAGTGAAAGACAGGGATTGGGCTCCCACGGACTAGGGAACGAAGTGAGCCTTCTGCCCACACCAGGCCGAGGGGCTGATTGCTTGCGGGAGGAGCCCGGGGAGCCACACCCCACCGTCTTGTCTGTAGACTTCTGGTCATCACCCTCCGTGGGCTGCCCACAGATTCCTGCCACCCCTTCTCCCCCGTGCCTGCCTTGCTGTGTGGGTATCCCAGCGAGTGCTGGTCTTCTGCCCCAACCTCAGGGACCCCTCCCCAGTGTCTCCTTGGCCTCAGCCCTTGTCCTCTTGTGTGCCAAGCTTCTTTCTTATTCAAAGCCGACCAGAATCTATCCAAGTCTTGGAAAATTGCTCTTTTCTGATACCAACGTTCAGCTTGATTACTAAAAATTCACACATTACAGAAACAGAAAACAGACCTTTCAAGACCTTGACTCCCCCCCGATGTGGTGTCACATACATTAGAGATGTGCCTATTCTAGCTACAAATCACTCTCCATTTTTTCTTTTTCCTCCTAAAATGCAAATACATACTTAGCCATCTCCTCCCCTTCCCTTGCCCTCTTTAGGTTTTCAATCAAGAGTTATTATGTCTGCTGTGTCTTCTATGAAAGATCCACATTTTTGTAATCTGCTGTGCCTCGTCCTACGCCAGCCACCTGTTGGTTTTATATTTAGACCCTGCAGTTTTCTTCCTGCTGAGCACTAGGCCTCTTCGGCAATGTCTCCGGAGCTCCAAGCCACATTCGTCATCCATCCTCCCCCTGCGTTTTTTAATGTACTGGGATTATGTGGACTTTTTCTGTCGGTTATAGTATATTGTTTTACACTTTCCAGCCTTTTACTTTTAACCTGCCTGTGTGTTTATATTTAAAGTTTCTTCTAAACAGTGGATCACTGAGTCTTCTTTTTCATACGGCCTGACAACCTCTGCCTTCCAATTGGACTGTTGAGTCCTTGTACACTGACCTTAATCATCTGTGTGGTTGAGTTTAAGTCGGCCATCTTGCTGTTTGTTTTCTATCTGTCCCACCTGGTCCTTTTTCATCTTTTTCTTTACCTCGCTTCTTTTGGATTATTTTACAGCATGTATTTTATCTCTACTGTTCGCTTATTAGCACGTATCAGGGACTCGGAAGGCTTGCCAAAACACAAAATCCCATGTTTTACTTTCATGTATGTTATAAGCCCCACGCTGCCTTGTTATTATTTTTGCTTTAAATAATCGATTGATTTTTCAACGTTTAAAAATGAGGGGGTGTTCTTCATGCCATTGTGTAGATCCAGGTTTCCAACCGGGATCATTTTCCTTCCACCTGAAAATCTTCCTTCCGTATTTCTCATTTACAGATCTGCTGGTGATGAATTCTCTCAGCTTTTGTCTGAAAAAAATTTTATTTCGGCTTCATTTTGAGGGCTATTCTCCTTGAATATAATATTCTAGGTTCCGTTTTTTTTTTCTTTTAGCACGTTGCAAATGTCATTCTGTTGTTTTCTGGCATGCACATTTTCTGATAAGGAGTCAGAGATTCTTTTTCTCTTTGTTCCTCTGTACACAATGGCAGCATTTTTCTCCTCTGACTACTTGAAGGTTTCTCTTTATCACTGGTTTTCAACAATTTGATTATGATGTATCTTTTTAAGTCTTGCTAGGGGTTAGCTGGGCTTCTTGGATCTGTGATATTATAGTTTCCATCAAATTTAGAAAAATCTCTAGCCATTATTTCTGTGACTGTATTTTTTATCCCTTCCCCCTTTCTTTGCCTTTTCAGAGTCCAGTTATGTGGGTATTAGATCATTTTCTATCACTCCAGCTCATGGAGGTACTGTTTGTTTTTTAAAACTTTTCTTTCCCCTGAGCTTCATTTGAGATGGTTTCTATTGCTGTCTTCAAATTCTCTAATTTTTTGTGGGATGTATGTGTGTGTGTGTGTGGTATCTAATCTGCTGTTAATCACATCCAGTGAATTTTTCATTTTAAGTATTATAGTTTTTACCTCCAGAAGTTCGATTTGACTTTTTCTATAGCTTCTATTCCAAATCTCTCTGTATTCCTATGTTTTTCTTTCCATACCTATACCTAGTTAAACTTGCTGTTTTCTGTGAGTCCTGTCACCATTCATTTCTGCGTGTTTCTATAAACTGATTGTTGTCTTTGCCATGGGTCACATTTTTGTGGTTCTTGGCATTTCATTGATATTGGGCTGGATGTTGGACATTATAAAGATTATGTTGTTGAGTGTTGGGATTTGGGGAGGCAGTTATTTGGGGATCACTTTGATCCCCTTGAGGCCTACTTTTAAGCTTTCTTTAAGGCAAGTCTTGGATAGCATTGGCTCTAGAGTTAGATCTGCCACACTACTAAGGCATGACCCCCCTGGATTCTCTACTGAGTGTCCCAGGGGATCACAGAGGACTCTCTATGCTGCTCCGTCAGACCTTAAACATCTCTCTACCTTGGTATGTCCTGGAAATTGTTCAGCTTACAGCTTCCTGGTCGCTTTTTTCCCCGGGCTTTTGGAGTTTCACTCTGTGCATGCATGGCATCGTAGTCAAGAGAGACTCAAGAAGAGCCTTATGCAGATTTTTTTGAAGCTCTTTTTCCTGCATAACTGACTCCTTTCTGAAACTCTGCTCTGCAACATCCAGCTGCCTCAGCTGCTCTGAATACTGGTCTCTGTCTCCCTAACTTGGCGAAGCCACGAAGCTCTGTTTGGCTCCCCCTCCCTACACTCTCAAGCTGGGCGATGACAGGGCTCACCTCATTTGTTTCTCTTCTCTCGTGCATTGTGATTCTGCGCTTCCTGCTGTCCGGTGTCTGAAAACTATTGTTTCACATATATTTCTCCCATTTTCTACTTGTTTCCAGCAGGATTGAAATCTTTCTTATTTCTCCATCACAGCTTTAGTGGAAATTTCTATCCATCCTTTTTCATACAGCATCTTTGATTTTATGTCCTTTAATTTGATATAGAAGTCTTTAATACAAAAAGTCTGATTTTCTATTAAAGTCTGTCTGGGTTGTGTGGTCCTTGAGCCAGCGTAGAAAAGACTTCCTTTTCATGTAATTGTGAGTAGAATTGAATTGAATGGACAGCAGAACAGGGACTATGTGCCTGTTTCTTTGAATCCCCTGAAGCGGGAGGCTGTGATGTGTAGACATCTGTGGTGGGATCTTATACTATTGCATATATTTTGCAATTTGGAAGACAAACGTAACTTGTACAAATTGGTCAGATCCTTTATTTAGCAGTCTTATGTCTGAAGAGCTTTCCTTTGAGACGTATTTTTCCAGCTGTTCTGTTCCACTTTTCATTGTGTGGAATATGGTACAGAAACCTCTCCTCAGTGCTGTCTTGCCTTCACAGGACTAATTGTTTTGGGGGTGTGGCTTTCAAGGGCCTCACTGCTGGCCAAGAAGCCCCCAGCCCTACTCTTTGCTGCTTCTCTTCCTCCAGTAGCCTGCCCCCCGTTTATTGCTGCCTCTACAGAGGTAGAAAGGGCCTCTCACTTCCTAGTTACGTCTTCGGATATTCTTGCTGGAGCGCTTCCTTCCTGCCCAGTGTGAGCGTGGGCCTCTTCGAGGCTTGCTGTCAGGAGGCCCGTGGCCAACCTGCCTCTGAGAGCCAGTCCTCTGTCCTTGGCTCTCTGTCCGTGTCTTTCTTCTCCTGGCCATGCCTGAGCGAACAGCCGTTGGTCTTACCTCGGCTCCCTCCGGGCCACCCGTGCGCGGTCTTTGCCAGACCACCTTCCCACTGTCCGAGGTGTATTTTCTTAGGCACGTGCATGCTCGGACGTGCCACTCCACCAGCACGAGACGAGACGCACATCTAAGACCAGGGAGAAAGAAGTCACCAGTCCCTTCCCAGGGGACGCAGAGGCAGGGCTGTTGTCACTCATGGCTTTTTTCACTTTTCTTAGCTCCACCTGCTCCCCAAGGTCTTGCCCTTCCCCAGGACGGAGCCCCGGGAAACCAGGTCCTGGCAGTCCCTCTTGAGATGCCGGAGGCCCAGGTGAGCTGTGCTTCCTTCTGCCTTGCTTGGGATTCTGTCACTGCTCCCTGATCCTGGCCTCGGCCTCCGCCTCTTGCCCCCAGCATGACACACGGCAGACTGTGAACCCCAACTGCTGTCTTCCTGCCCTCCCTCTGCTTCTCTTCCAGAGGTTGCCAAGGAATGGATGTCCACTGGGCTTGTGGTTCCTGTCATCTAGGTGGGGGAGCTGAGTTTCCATACAGGAAAATGACCGACCTGAGGTCCCTTGGGAAGACAGTGGGAGGCCAGGTCTCCTAGTGCTTGGGCAGGTTCTCTTTCCAGGACTTCTCGGGGCTCGTGGTTACTTCTCCACGTTAACACACCCACTCCAGGCCCTCGCCTCTTGTCCCTGGCGTTGCTGGTGCTGCCCCCGCCTGATTCTAGAACAGACTGAAAGACTGATTCTCCCTGGGAATTCTTTCAGGATTTGGTGATATTTGATGATGTGGCGTGGCACCTCACCAAGAGGGAGTGGCTGAGGCTGGACCCTGAGCAGAGGGCACTGGCGTATTATGGGAACGTGACCTCCATAGGTAAGCATGGCCCCAGCTTTTCCCCAGACTTTCCACCCGCTGGGAACGGGGCGGGAGGTACATGGCTATCCACACCCGCTCATCTGGTCCCTGGTTGTGGGGAAACACAAAGGGTCTGCCACACCTGACGTGTCTGAGTAGCACACACTCCCCCGGCTCCTCAGGACAGGGAAAGAACCCCCCTCGGGTTTTTACCGGGAGAGAAATTGGAGCCGAGGTGCCACTAGAGTGTAGGATGCGCTTTCCTTTTCGCCCCACAAATTATGCAGGTTGCATGGCCATTTAATTTGAGTTTACATTTGAGAGAGGCTGGCATGATCAAGCCCTGGCTCACCCGCCAGGAGTCTGCGTGTGTGTGAAAGTGGGGAGTTTTTAAGAGAAGAGACTATTAGGAGTCAGATTTGGGATCGTGGAAGTTTGCAGGTCTGGGAAGAGCGTGAAGTTCAAGGTGTGGCCACAAAGGGGGTGGACAGGGGTGAGGTCAGCCTCTCAGGAGGACCACCAGGTAGGCTTCTGGAGCCTCCCCCAAGTGGGCCCAGAGCCTGTGCCCCTGCAACTTCTGGAAGGAGCCCTTGGGAAATACATTTGAACTGAATGAATGGCTTGCGTAAGGTCACAGCCAACCCAGTGTCTGAGGATTGAAAGTGGTTCTTCTTCGAAGGCCTTGCCCCATTCTTCCAGGTTTCTCATGTCATCTCTGGCTGTCACCAGAACCCGTTTCTTTTCCCATGAGCAGGAGTTCCTGTTTCGAATCCTCCCTTGGTCTCTCACCTGCTCCAAGGGAAAGTACTACTGGTATCAGACCCATTGCTCAGCACGGATCCAGCCAAGTACTCTGGTGAGTGACAAAGAAACTTAAAGAAGTGTGAGGAAGTCTGGGGTGGCCCCACTGAGCTGTGGTGGGGTTCAGGTTAGGGTTGGGGGGACCCAGCTGAGTTCTCGGGGTTGAGGTTAGGGTTGAGAGGACTAGCTGAGCTTTGAGAGGAGGCTTGAGTTAGAGCTGGGAGGCCCAGCTGAGCCCCGGGAGAGGGTGTGTGTCTGCTGCCTCATCACAGAAGGGGGCCCTCTGCCCCTTGCCTCTGCAGTCCTTGCTTCTGGTGGCTTCTGGGCTGAGCCTGGTGCTCACCAGCTGTCTCTGGAGAAAAAGGATTTTTGGCAAAGGAGCGTAACCTCCGCTGGCCTCCTCTGCAGGCTGACTGCAGTGTCTTGTGTTTACCATTTCAGAGAGCACCTCGGTGACCCGACACCAAACCATGGGGGAAGACACCCAGCCCCAGGAGATGGCGTCCACAAGCTCCTCAAGGGCGAGTGACCCCAGCCCCGAGGGCAATCAGCACGGGGACTCTGAGAGGGGGGGAGGGAGCCCACAGGGTCTGCCCATAGAGCATCACTTTGCCTGTAAAGAGTGCGGGGACACCTTTCGGCTCAAAGTGCTCCTCGTTCAGCACCAGAGAGTCCACAGCGAGGAGAAGGGCTGGGAATGTGGCGATTGCGGGAAGGTCTTCAGGGGGGTGTCGGAGTTCAACGAGCACAGGAAAAGCCACGTGGCCGCGGAGCCCCAGCCCGGCCCGAGTCGAGCCCCGGAAGATGCCGCGGCAAAGCGGGAGCAGATGGAGCGGGAGGCCAAGCCCTTCGAGTGCGAGGAGTGCGGGAAGAGGTTTAAGAAGAACGCAGGCCTCAGTCAGCACCTGAGGGTCCACAGCAGGGAGCAGCCCTTCGACTGCGAGGAGTGCGGGCGGTCCTTCAAGGTCAACACCCAACTCTTCCGCCATCAGAAGCTGCACACCTCGGAGAAGCCGTTCGCCTGCAAGGCGTGCAGCCGGGATTTCCTGGACCGCCAGGAGCTGCTCAAGCACCAGCGCATCCACACCGGCCACCTGCCCTTCGACTGCGACGACTGCGGCAAGTCCTTCCGAGGCGTCAACGGGCTGGCGGAGCACCAGCGCATCCACAGCGGCGCCAAGCCGTTCGGGTGTCCCCACTGCGGCAAGCTCTTCCGGAGGAGCTCGGAGCTCACCAAGCACCGGCGCATCCACACGGGCGAGAAGCCGTACGCGTGCGGCCAGTGCGGCAAGGCGTTCCGCCAGAGCTCCAGCCTGCTGGAGCACGCGCGCATCCACAGCGGCGAGCGGCCCTACGCGTGCGGCGAGTGCGGCAAGGCCTTCCGCGGGCCCTCCGACCTCATCAAGCACCGGCGCATCCACAGCGGACTGAAGCCTTACGAGTGCGACAAGTGCGGCAAGGCCTTCCGCAGGAGCTCGGGCCTGAGCCGCCACCGGCGCATCCACAGCGGGGCGCGGCGCTGCGAGTGCAACGAGTGCGGCCGCGTGTTCAAGAGGCGCTCGGCGCTGCAGAAGCACCAGCCCACCCACCGCGAGTAGAGGCGTCCGCGGCCGGCGGGGGTCCCCAGACGGGGACGGCAGAGTCAAAGGAGATGAACAGTTTTGTAGCGCTTCTATATTTTGTCGTCCGAAAGGTTGAGACCAATTTATACTGCCACCAGCAATTTATAAGTGTACGCGTTTCTCATCGCCCACCGAGAGTAGCTTTTACCATTTTAACCTAGTTTGGCTAGTTCAACTGGCAGAGAGTACCATCGGGGCGTTTCCATACGCATGCCTTGAATCCCAGAATGAGAGCAGAGAAATCCGGATGGGGGGAGGGGGCGTGGAGGCCGTTATCTCCAAGCTCCTCCTCCCTCCCTCCCGGGAAACACACACACAGAGCCATTCACAGATGGCGTCAATGTAATGTGATCCCAGCTTTCCCGAAGAGAAGATCGCCCCAAAGTTTTTTGGCCTACTTGAATTTATAAATTTTTAGGGATGTAAATAGAGCACTCAAATGTCTTATATATTTAATTTATTAATTTAGTTATGCATACATATTATAAATCACATATGATATAGAATAATATATTAATTTAGAAAATGCTCCTGTTTTGCCACACGCTGTTTCCTGAAATCATTTTGTTCTAACTCCTCGCCTGTGTTTTTGGTCTCGCCGTCTTCACTGTGGGAGCCCCCTTCCAGTCATCAATTTCAAAGCACATCCAGTCACTTCCATCAGAGCTGTGGGCAGTAGTGCTGTGACAATCCCTGCAGGAGGCTCTCACTAGAAATGTCCTCCCAAGCCATAAGAACATTGCTCACGTAACATTAGGACAAGTTATTTTTGTTGTTGTTTGTCTTATAACTCTACAACATAACCACTTAAGGTGGTGCTTTTTCAAATGACCTTTAAAAGGCCTTTTCTTAAAGCATCTGAAACGTCATTGTGAGGTCAGACTCTTAGCAGTAATTGCTGAATCTGAGTTAAGTGTCTCGCATCCTTTTTTCTTAAACCAATTCAATCTGGTGACCCCTCTTCATAGCCAAAGTAGCAGCGACTAGGGGGCTGTTTTGGGCTACTAGGTCTTGTCTTCAAGCAGCACTATTTAGTTGAAGTTAAAGTAGTGAAGATCACCCCCACGGTAAGAGATACATCTCAAGGACCCAAGTGTCCGGTGACGCCTCCTCGTTGGGAACAAGGGTCTTTCCTTGTATCGAGCCTAGGTGGTTGCCAGCTCTGTAGAACGGAGGTGGCACAGCACCTACCTCCGAGGGTTATCGTGAAGGCTGCCATTGTGCCTGCAGAGCGCCAGGCATGCAGGCCTGGCACAGAGGTACGCTCACTGAAGGCCACCTGCAGTCATTGTCATAGCTACTGCTGTCACTCTGTGGCTCGTTAGTACCAGAACTGGGGATGGACCCCAGTCCTTACTACCAGTCTCATCTTCTTTCTCCCATGCGATGATTTGAGTACAACTCCTGTTTTCCTGCATGCGAGTTGTCTGTTCATCTCCTTTGACTAGTTATCAAGTTACCTTTGGATATATTGACTTTATATAGTGCTTCTTTCTATATCGACTGTGATGTTCTCTTTCCAGTTTTATTGCTTTGCTCTTTGTTGCACTTTTATTACGTTTTTTTGTGTGTGCAGCCCTTTAATTTTTACATATCCAAGCTTTCATTTTGGTCCACTAAGTCATAACTTCCATTGCTTCTGTAGTTAGATACAATGACATTTTCTTCAAGAATTTTAATTACAGATAAAAAGTTGAAACCACTGCCCATGGGAAGGTGACTACAGCAGGTGGGCAGACTGGATGGGAATGGGCCGGAGAAGCAGGCTCTTCCCTCATCCAAGATGCAGACTCCATGTATATCTGTGGGCAGTACTTGACTATCTAAAACCTGGCCACTCAGGCACGCTAGAGATACTTCCATCACAGATTGGCCAGAACACTCTGTGACTGTGCATCAGCAAGCCTCAGCTGTCAGCGGCAGGGCTTGGCCTCACTTAGATCAATGGGGTGGTCCAAACTCGGTCTGGAAGCAAGCAACCCAGCCATCCTTCAAACTCCTGGGAGCCTTGGCAGTGCCCGGTGTGGACTCCGTGACCAAGAGACAGCTCCCAGGATGCAAGAACTCTCACCTGGACCACATCCTCTGGTGGCTTCTGCTTTGGACAGCTAGACGAAACTCACCTATGTGTTCTGGCAACAAGCAGGGGCTCAGAGAGGAAGCACGCCTCTCTATGGCCTGTGCATCATGCCTGTACTAGCTGGCTGCACCAGGCCTGGGCTATGACTGGCAGCAGCCATGCCCAGGATGGGAACTAAAGCAAAGGCTTGGAGGGTAGCAATGCCCTTCTGATGGCCCGTGTGGCATGGAAAAGAAGCTGATCGTCCTGGGACTGGGCTGTTGTTTCCAGCAGCCTACCCAGAAGGAGCAGCCGTGGCGAGGAACCCGGCCCCTCCCATGGCCCGCAGAGGCCGCAGCTAGAAGCCGGCCACACCAGGGCTGGGGTGCGACTTCCCAGCAGCTGTGCCCAAGGGGGCAGGGCACTAGAGAGCCTGGAGGAGAAGCGTGTCCTTCTGGTGGGCCCACCGAGGCTAAGGCAGAGCTTCCTAGCAGGCATAACTTGAAAGGGCTTCCCAGGCCCCCATCCTGGGAGGCAAGGCCCTATAATGACCCCTGTGACCTTGGCCGGGAGGCCCCCTCAATGGGCCCCAGGCCACCACAGTGGCACTCTGCGACATCTCCATCCTGACCCCAGGCTGGAGAGACGCCAACAGCACTTGTTACATAGCGATTCTCTTTGCTCTGTGGGCCTCAGCTCTTGCAGTAGCTGTGAATCTGTGTCCGAAATTGCGCCTTTCTTCTCAGATCTGTTTTCTCTCTTCAAGCTGTGAGGCTGTGTTGTGTACAGCTGTCATTTGGTGAGGGGCATTCACTCACCATTTGTAGGATTGCATGAGGGATCTTGGAACATAGCATAGTCATCACGACTCCCTGCTGGGACGTGGTGTCTTGACATCCCTTCCTGCCCTCCTTGACTTCTTCCCATTTTCGGTTGTATGACTTTCTCTCAAACAAATCCTCTTGTAGACTTAACACTACAGATCGCATCTTGGCCGTCGCAGTTGACGGAATAGCTGTCCGCGGGGTCCATGGTGAGATCCGCGCCTTCTTCCAGTGCATTCTGTGGCTTTAACATGTGTCCTGTCATTTCGCCAGGTTTGTTGGTTGCCTCTGATGGTTCCACCCTGTCGGGAGTGGATCTCCATGGATCCTCTGGGTACACGGCTGTGTCAGATGCAGATGTGACCAAGCGTCCCACTGTGTGTGCTCGTCTATGCATTCATGTATCTACCTCATTTCATTTTTCTTCCTAATCACATGTGTTCCTATCGCTAGAGAGTGGCGCGCTTCCATGCCACGCTGGCTCTCATCGGGAATCTGTTCTTTTCTGACCATATTCAGAAAGAAACCTTCCATTGCTTTTATTAGAGTTTTGAGTACTTGGTGACATTTTCAAAAGAAAGTACTCGTTGACCATTTTTGCTGCTTTTCGCGATTACTTGTCGATGAGTTGTGTCATGCTCACTCTTGCATTTCCAGAATAGTCCACACCTTATTGCAGCGGGCGTCTTTCTCGCATGGTATTGCATTCCGTCTGCTTGACTTTGTGCTAGAAGCGACACAGCTGTGGCCCTGTTGTGTACCATGTGACTCGCCACCCCTCTTCTAGACCATGTTAATTAAACCAGAATTGGACACTGGACCCGAGGGCAGCAACCCACCATCAGAGCTGGCAGAAGATGACCCACATTCCGGTCTGAAATACAAACGAGGTAACGGAGAACCTTCTCGTTGGTGTCAGAAGATGGAGCTGCACAGCACTGAGAGGAATTGAGGACTGGTGCCCACTGGGCTCCCCAGAGCTGCCTCAATCCCAGCACGTGAGGGAGGCCCAGCCGTGTTACATCCTTGGATTTCTGATGACTGCCCTCATCAGTCCACATGTGTCCCCACCATAGATCCCTGCGCTGGAACCAGCTTGAGTGGGTCTCTGTTCTTTGCAACTTGTCAAAGTCTGCCCGCTGGCTCTTCTCACTTCCTGACTGATGTGAACGCCTATTTCCATGTGGTACTGTAGCCTGTTCCCGAAGATGGGTGAGAATTTATGCCTTCTAGTCTCAGTAAGTTTGCCCAGTGCTTTTCTGTCCGGGTAGTGTTCCTTTCCTGAACCCTCGTTTGGCCCATAAGATGAGTGAACCCGCAGCCACCCTGTTCCCTCTTTTGGAAGTGATTCGCGATTTCCAGCACATCTGTCAGATGGGGGGAACTGCTACCTTCTTTCTCCCTGGTATACTGGCATTCTGTAGTTCTCATTGTGTCAGTTTGGGTGTTTACTTATCTCTTTAAACTTGGCCCTTGTTACTTGCCTATCTCCGAGAACAGTAACTGTGTCCTGCCCCAGTCTGTGTTTTGGTTGGGTTGTTGGCACTCTCTTCTTGTTCCGCCCGATCTCGTTACCTTGTCTGTTTATAGCACTCACTATAATCAGCCTTGCACTAGAGCTGTTTGTGGACTTGGCTTCCCCCTCCTCTCCCCAGCCCTTCCCCACCCATTAGATTGTGAGCTCTTAGAAGCCAGGGGTGGCCCTTCATGTCTGATCCCCTACCAAACCTAGCACAGTGCCTTGCATCGAGTAGATTTCAATAAATATATGTTAAATGGCATCGGTCTCCCTTGACTTATGTCAGATCTTCATACATCACTTCTTCCCTTTCCCCTTTCCCCACGCCATGAGGTTCTACACTTGTCCTTGCACTTGGAGAACCACTTCCTCCAGGGGCCCAGGTGCCATCTTGCTCCCTGCTGGGATTGGTTATCCCAGCACTTGCTGGGTGCCAGGAGGGGAGGAGGGGCACCCTGGCGGGGGAGGCTAGTTTGCCTGGCACTTTGAGCTGTCCTATGGCAGAAGGAGCCTTTCATTCAGCCAGCTGCCTTTGCCCACCTCAGCTGGGACTCCCCCTGAGTCTGAAGTCCAGATGGGAGCAGATAACAGGGCCAGACCCTGAGCTTCTCCCGTAGGGACCAGGAATGGGGTGACAGATGGCTGCTGGGACTTGAAAGTTGGCCCACCGCTCAGGTTGGGTGGGGGTGATAGCAGGGCAGTAGGTCTCGGTGGCCAGTGGCTGGCCCTCTCTCCAGCGACCATTGCCTCAGAAAAGGCAGAGGCAGGAACAGGCCCATTTCCTGACCCTTCCATTGCAAACAGGGCTCAGCTATGGAGCTGGCTGCCCAACTGCAGGAAGGCAAGCACAGAGGGGGTTCCAATGCACGTTCCCACAGGGAATCCAGCAAGAGGAAGCAACATTCTGGAAAGAAGCATGACTCCCCCGCCCCCAACCCAGACTCCCAACTTCTGGTGGGGGCCCAGGCAGGGCCATGTCGTCTTTCCCGCAGGATACCACCCTCAGCATGGCTGTCAATTCTTCCACCTCAGGTGCAGCTCCAGGCAGGTGGGGTGATGCCACCCCCTTGGGGGCCGACTTCTCACTTGGCAGGGCATCCCCTCCCAGTGCACGCACCCCCAGCCAT